AAAGGAAATGAGATCTTTATCCTTGCTTGATGCTGGAGGAGGTGGGGATACAGGGCCACCTCTGCCCTCTCTTGCAAGGTGGGGCTACAGAAGTCTGGGGCAAACAAATTCCAAAGGGAGGGCAGCAGTCCTCACAGTCAGCCTCCCTCAAAGGGGCCACACTGACTGAGTCTCCTAGAATTGAGGGTGCCTCCTGGAACACTGCTGTGCTTGCTCTGGGTCAAGGCCCACCACAGTGCAGAGGAGTGGCTGCCTTGTTCCTCCCTGTCTGCAGACTGGAAGAATCAGGAGACCGGAGCTGTAATCTTGGACATGAGCCTTTTTAATCTCTGTGTAAAATGACTCCTTTTAAAACGAGGGGTTTGATGTAGCTTACCTCTAACGTACCTTCTAGTTTTGACATCTTATGCTATGAAAGGTCAGCCTTTAGCTGGAGAAAGAGTTACAGTTGAGGCCAGGAGACATATTCTCCCCTCTGGACCCCTGTGGCTCAAATGTTCATTCCAGACAACTTAGGGGAGATGAAAGGAAAAGAGCGTTGGCTCCTCCTTCTTGAGACCACCATTACCACCATTCCTATGCCTTCCCTCATCCCACTGCTTCAGAACCACTTTAAATTTGCTCTGAAGAGACTTGAAGAAAACAAAATCCCTTTCACTTCCTACCCAACTGGCATCATCAAAGCCAAGCTAGCGAAGTGGCAAGTACCGTAAGAGAGCAAGCTCTGCAAAGCACGTCTTGTCAGCAAAACATGGGGAAATCCTACTGACCACTTCTTAAAGATATCTTCTGGATCTTCAGTCCAATTGGACTTAAGCTTGATCTTGACATTGACCTTTCTGTCCCTACAGTACTACCCAACAGGCTTCTGGGCAGTTTTTGGTTATACGTATGCTCCAGCTAGCCATGACTTCTCATTGTGCTAGTTCAGGGGCCCCTCCCACTGAATCATGCCCATCCCCTTCGGGAGCTCCTAAAGCAGAAATTCTCAAAGTGTGGTTCTGAAGAACTGTCCTTTAGAATCGCTCAAGAGCCTTGTTAAGGATAAAGATTCCTGTGCCAGACCTATTGGATTAAAATCTCTGGGGGTGGGCCAAAGAACCTGCATTTTAAAACCAGCTTCTATGGTGATTCCTATCTGTAGTAAGTGGTTTGGGGAGCCAATAATCTAAGAATACCCATTAGCCAATATTAGTCATGGTGAAGACACTCCATTCCATTCATTCTTTAATTCTGTCCAACAAACATTTGTTTTCTGACTAAGAGGGAAAATTGGTATTACCTACTGTGTGCCAGGCACTAACTTGGCACATGAGACTTTCATTCACACAGCTTTCAAGGAAAGACATAGCTCTCAAACTGTGTCTTTCCTCAGGGAAATCAGACTTCCAACAGGTTTAGAATTCCAGGCACTAGGATCCCTTTCATCCCCATCCTCATTTTGGGATGACTGGAGATGTTGTAGAGAACTACAAATCTGGTTTAAGAGAAAAAGATTCCCCCCTTTTTTCCCCGACAAGCAAGAGACATTCTATGCATTGGAGCCATGGAGTCAAGAGTTTACATGTGCTCAAGTATCTCCACAGGGTAACAGGGCGGGGTTTGTAGAAGGTGGTTGAGAGGAACACGGTAGGAACAACTTTAAGCACGTAGGAGACCAGACTGCCACTCTCTGTCACTTCTGTCTGCAAAAAAGAAGCCTGATATTAGAATGGGAAAGATAATCATGGTGGCGGGGGGGGGAGTGGAGTGGGTAGTGGGTGGCTGCTGGGACGAGCAGGATGGAAAAGATTTCAAAGCATTCCTACATCAAACACAACGTGGCAATCAGGACTCTCTGTTGTCATCTCCTGCTGAGACAGAGCTCACAGCATCAGGACCCAGCACAGCAAGTGACCCTCGGGAATTCATGGCTTGAACAAGTAATAAAATTAGTAAGAAAATCTTCCCATATCCCGTGAAAATCTAAGAGACAAATTATAAAGTTACTTGAAACATCTTATATTCACATCTTTCTACAACACCCGCCCCGATAATATCTTCCAGTCCCTCCTTAGAAAATTACAGATTCAGATCCTTCTAGAGTAGACTTACAGTGTAGCTAAGTCCTGTGCTGGAATTGAATCCCTTGTTCCTTTGGTTGGAGAATTCCTTTTTCCCCAGCCTAGGGCTCCCCTAACAAGGTGTCCTCACATAGTAGTTCCTTCATAAATGTTTGTTGAATCTGAACCTGAATCTGAGATGACCACAGTACAACTTCCACCCTGAGCAAGTCAAGAACCAGCTCAGGAGTGAGGATGGCAACTCTGTGGCCCAAGGTGTGGGATATACCAAGCACTTGAAGATTAAGAGAGTGGAGAGAAGGATGAAAGGGAAAGTAGCCTGTACGCAACTATTTGGGAACTGTTAACAAAGATTGAACCCTCCACCCACTCTCACCCACAGTTATGAAAACAAACAAAAAAAATCTCATTCTTTCTTTGGACACTTTCTTTCCTTAGCAAAGGCTAAAGCTCCAAAAATTTGCTCCAGGGAAATGGTGTGGCCAGCTCATGGGTGCAAAGTCAAGGCTTAATTGTGTCAAGAGGGACCCAACCTTTTGGCTCAAATACTCAGTGGCAAAACATTGTTGCCATTAAGGTTGCCAAGGCACCTAGGCTTTTGATTTTCCCCAAAATCTTAGAGAAAAGGCCCTTAATTTGATGGGTTTTAGTCAGACTCACCAGACAATCAGGCTGGGTTTTCTGTCCTAAATCTGGTTGTAGACAGCCGGCTGTCTTCTCCCCAAAAAGAGGCTTACATTGCCAACATTCCTTTTGAGCCTCTGGCTAAAGAGTTGTGATAGGACAAGCACCTTTTGATAGAAAGCCCTTCTAGTTTGGAGATAGGATTATGAGAGCGGGGACATCCAGCCTATAAAAACTGGCCATTAAAGTCGGGGGCGGGGGCGGGTGGCGGTGAGAGGGCATTGTGAACCCAACTGCATCAGATTTGTTGATACTTTTGCATTAACAACACAGAGGTAAGCAGTGAAGAAATTCACCTACATTTTAAGCCTGCACTAGCTCCGAAGAGACTCTTCTAGATTAATTTCCTTACCAGGGTACTAGAGAAGATCATGTTCTTCTTTTAAAGACTCTTTAGGACTTCTGTTATCTAACTGGCTACAGGACAAAACTGGAATAGTAAAGTCAAGGTTGAAGAGCTATTTTTAGCATAGCATTTCCTCTCCCAGTCAAATCCAGGAATTCAGCACCCCAGGAACCCCTGAACCCCTTAGCTTTGTGCTAAAGCTGAAGCTTAGCTCAGTGTCCCAACTATGCTCCTCTTTTCCCTCATCTTGGCTCAACTTCAGCCTCACTGGCAGCCTACGATTTTGGTCTGGCTTTGTTTATTCACAAGACCAAATCCCTGCAAGGGACTGGTTCCCTGGACTGGTTCCGGACCTCCTTGGAGTGGAATTTTAGGCAAGGGCTCAGTCGCTCTTTCATGACAAATGGATCAGTTAAACAACAATAAAATCTCGGTCAACATAACTCAGAGTCTGTAATAGATCAAGTTTTCAAGGGCATTTGAATAAGCCAAGAGTTTAGTCTTCATTCACACGGTTTTAAGAATAAACACCCTCTTTCATTACTGCTATATGTAAATAACATTCATTTATTTATTCTGTCATTTTCTTATACCCCTAAAGAGGGAAACATTAAAGAAAAAGTTCAAGGAAGTTGAAAAGTTTGTCAATGTAAAGCTTGTCTTTGTAACCCTTCTACTCTTCACTTCCTGTGCCAACTGCACTTTTATTTCCCGTCTGTCTACATTCAGTAAACAAAACCATATTATCAAGGGAAAGACGTGAGCCCATTAACATCGTGAGCCCTCAGATTTCACTCGCAGGAGACGACGCAGCACTTATCTGATGGAACAGAAGCTTTAATTGCTTCGAAGTACAAGCCCGTCCAAACCTCTGAGATCTGACCCATCCCTGGGAAGCCTTTGCGCCCTCGAGCCAAGCGCATCTGAGAAAGCACGCGCAAGCAATGGTGCGTGTGCCAGCCTCCCAGATCGGAGGGCATGGGGGACACAATAACCGTTCGACCAAAAGGGATGATTCTTTATTTTGACAACCTAGTCAAAGAGGGAAAATCTGCTAAACTTTCCTACAAGGCAGGAACTTAACCTTCTGTCCAAATCAAAACCTGGCAATCCAACACTCATCCTCATCGTGTTGCCACAACTGGAAGGGGAAAAAGAAGCTGTAGGGAATGCTGCGATGCAACGCGAAAACCTTGAAAAAACGTGTCAAAATATTGCGCCGCCCCAGGTACACAGCACCTACAGCATAAAATTTAGTCCCAGGAGTCAGGGGGAGGGGGATAAAGAGGGAAAATCAAACATCTGCTCCAGGTTTAGGACAGGGATAACACCAGTGCCAAGAAAACCCCAAGCGAATAGGATTCAGAAAAAAAGGGGAGAGGAATAACTTTCCCTTCCCTGGAGTAGGTCTAGGAGCAAATCCTCACGGGCCAAACTCCACGCTCCCTTTTAACCCCTTCCACACTGCGGCGCCCACAATCCGCAGTCTAGGGACTAGCCAGTCACGATTCAGAAGAACAAGCTCGTGCTCCCTCCGTCCCCTCGCCCTCACCGAGAGGCCAGTTGTTCAGCCTCCTCCCCCAACTTCACTCAATACCTGTATAAGGAACAGGCGTCGTGCGCTCTCGCCTCGGGCCTCCCCACTCATTTCCTGGGTCGGGCCAGCTCTACCCCGGGCTAGGGGGCACTGGGAGGCCGCCCCACGGTCGCTTTGGCAAAACTGGCTGCGGGGCAGGCGCGTGGAGTCGCGCGCCGATCTGGACCGGGGCCGTGCGGGGAAGGCGCCCATTGGCAGGCCGGCGCCACGTGGCCGCCCCCGCCGCTATATTAGACCACTATTTACTTCCAGCTCGCTCGCCATGGCTCGGCGACGGCAGCACCGGTAGGGGAGGAAGGCGGTGCGCACCCCGGCCCTTGCCTGTGTGCTCCGAAGGGTGGGCCGGAACGATGAGCTCCTACCTGGAGTACGTCTCGTGCGGCGGCGGGGGCGGCGGCGACGTGCTCAGCTTCGCGCCCAAGTTCTGCCGCGCCGACGCCCAGCCTGTGGCCCTGCAGCCCGCCTTCCCCCTGGGCGGGGGCGAGGGCTCCCTCGTTAGCTGCCTGCCCCTGACCGCGGCCGGGGCCCGACCCGCGCCTTCACCCCCGGCCGCGCCCCCGCAACCGCCTGCGCCGCCCCCGGCCGCGCCCCCGTATGCGCCGTGCACCCTGGAGGGCGCCTACGAGCCCAGCAGTGCACCTGCCGCGGCGGCGGGGTGCGCCGACTATGGCTTCCTGGGGCCTGGGCCCGCTTATGACTTCCCGTGCGCGCTCGGGCGGCCGGCCGACGACGGCGGGCCGCGCGTCCCCTACGCTACCTCAGCCGTCTTCTCCGGCGGCGGCTCCTTCCTCCTCAGCGGCCAGGTGGATTACGCGGCCTTCGGCGAGCCCGGCCCTTTCCCGGCGTGTCTCAAAGAGCCAGCCGACGGCCACCCCGGCTCCTTCCACAGGGCGTCCCCGGCTCCCGGCGCCTATCCCAAGTCCGCCTCTCCGGCCTCCGGCATCTCCGCCGCCTTCAGCACGTTCGAGTGGATGAAAGTGAAGAGGAACGCCCCTAAGAAAAGTAAGTACTTGGGCCTTGGACGGAGGCATCTGAGGTTGGGGAAAGAGCCTCCTCCGCGAAATTGCACTGGGAGCGCCTTGCATCGGTCCCTCTTGCCAAAGGTTTGGGTTTTATGGAGGAAACGCGTTGCGAGGCATTAGTAAAGCAGGCGAATTCCTTGGAGCGTGCTGGGCCCTGAGAAAATTGCAGGAAGGATCTCTCCGTGGAGAGTTTCCCCTGGCACAACCGTAAAAGTTAATAGGAACCCCGGCGGGCTGCACTGGGACTTTGATTTTAAGTCTAGCCCCACTGCCCGCCAGCGTTCTGTCTGCCCGTCCTTTCGCCTTGCTGACGCCCTGTCTTTACGTTGCAGGCAAACTCGCCGAGTACGGAGCCGCCAGCCCCTCCAGCGCGATCCGCACGAATTTCAGCACTAAACAACTGACAGAACTGGAGAAAGAATTTCATTTCAATAAGTACTTAACTCGAGCCCGACGCATCGAGATAGCCAACTCCTTGCAGCTGAATGACACCCAAGTCAAAATCTGGTTTCAGAACCGCAGAATGAAACAGAAGAAAAGGGAACGAGAAGGGCTTCTGGCCACTGCCACCCCTCTGGCCTCCCTCCAACTTCCTCTCTCAGGAACGAGCCCCACCAAGTCAGGCAAGAACCCGGAAAGCCCTTCTCAGGCCCGGGAGCCTTCCTGAGGTCCAGTCTTGAGGCTGATGGACCTCAGCCTGGGGAAGTGGAGGCCACCCCCTCCGGTCTCTAAACTTACAGCTCAGTTTGGTTTGACAGTGGGCTGGACGGAAATTAATGTGGGATTTCGCGTGGGCAAAGAAGTATTTTACTTTGGCTTCTGAGTTCCAGTCTGTGTGTGTACAGATATTAATTTGATGTCTCTTAAGCCACTTGCTTGCGCATTGTTTGTGTTTTATCAGGTAAAAAGCGCCCAGCTGCCAGCCCAGCCCTGCTGCTAATTTGCCTAAGTTAGTCATATGCAATTCTGTGGGTGAAGAGTGGCACAGCATTGGTCACTGAACTCTGTCAACCTCCCGATATGCTCAGAAGAGCACCTGTCCAAAGCTTTTCTGTTTTTTGAAGGATAAGGCTACTTGTGTTCAGCTTGTTGAGGTGACCAAGCTGGTTAGGAACTCCTTGATGTAGCTAAGCTGCTTCAATGCTGATCTTCACGATTGCACTCCTTTTTTTTCCCTTTAAAGAGCAGTTTCTACCTCTCCGCGTGCCTGAGTGGACATACAATCGCTGTTTAGTTAGTAGCTGAACCAATTCACAGGGTGGGTAAAGACTAGAACCTGAGCTACACCTTGACCTCAGTTACCCAAACTTGAATGTAAATATATACAGTATGTATATTTTTAAAAAAGATTCGCTTGCAACAAACTTACTATGTGACATTTAATATCATAGCATGTAAAGGGTTTGAAGTTGTTGGTTTTTTGTTTTTTCTTTTGTAATAAAAATTATGGAACCTGCTACTCTTTGCTTGTCCTTATACTCCTTTCAACTTGGTTTTCTTCCTTAAAGCTGATTCAGTTTCCCCTATCTGGAATGTCTTGATTCTGTTCTGGAAATTTATTTATGCTGATAATTTTTAAAAATGACACTTCTTACAGGCAGGCTGTCTATACAAACAGCAAGTTAGGGACGATTACCTGAGCACTTTAAGGGAGAAAAAAAATACACTTTGCCAAATATCCAAATAACTAAGGAAGTACTTTCCTTACTTTAAGTGCTCTAGTGTTATGGTAGGTATGCAGACTTCGCATTAACTCAAGGGTTAGGTGCCCTCTGTGGGAACGTTGTAAAGCCAAGGAGATACTGCAGGGAGATCTTCTTGTTCTTTTGTCTCCTGTCCTCACAAAAGAAAGAGGAAAGGTGACCTGAAGACTTTGTTACTTGGTTAATGGTCTCTGAGAAAGGCAGCTGCACATCAAAAAGTTCACAATCACCGAATTCCCATTTTCAAAGTCAAGAATTACAAAGGAGGCTGGGAGAGCCCAGCAGTCAGAGCTCTGCACTTCCTGTTACCTGGACTGAGCGTCTGGCTGAGAGAAAGCGTTGAGGGTGCCTTTTTGTTTTAAAAAATATTTTCAAATTAATTCCTTTGGAAGAGGTGTAAGCACAGAACTTGAAAGTTGGCAAAAGGGTATGTGGTAACTTCTAACCTTGTTTCCACTATCCTCCCCTGCCCCCCACCCCATTCCCATCGTTAGAGGCATCCATAGTAGACCAGGCTTTTGTGAAAACTTGCAGAAATATTTCAAAAAAAAAGTGCAATATTAGTACACAACCAAATGGATACTTGAGACAATTGTCCGGGCAGTACATTTTCATCTCCTTTTAGCCTTATCTCCTCTCTCCTTCCACCTAGGGGTTCAGGCACATCCTTAAATTCTCTGTATATTTCAACTGATAGGCTTAAAGGCCAATGTAATCCAGATAAGAACCTCAGCTCTACTTTTAGCTAGATTTTCAGATTTTAGTGTAGGGCTTCCAATCCAATAATTCAGAAGTGTAAACAATTGTGGAGAATTTATTTTCCTATAAAACAACAATGTGATTACATAGTTGTATTAAAAAATTTAAGTTACACTCAAATTCCTGTGCTTTGGACCTAGCATTTAATGGAATTGAGGAAATAAAATTATCTGCTCTAACAAATTCAGCTGATTAGGGGAAAATATATCACTTAAAAAGCAGGTCTGTCAATATTATTCTTATGTTTCACCATCTGCCCTCCAATAACTTAATGCTAATCGGATCTTGTTTGAAACAACAGCCCCCCTCCTGAGCTCTGTAGCTATTTGAAAGGACTTGTGATCTGCTCATTTACAGCCACTTCCGGGCTTTCCCTGCAGTGGTCTTTGACATAACAATGTTTCCTTTTTGATAAGCATTCAAATGTACACCTAAAGCTGGTTGAATGGACACAGGGAATCGGGTGGAAAGGAGGAGTTTACTGTCACAGTACGGGGAGAGCAATTAGAGTCACATAACAATGTATGTATACATTTTTGTATGGGAAAAAATTTAATAAATATCAAAAAAAACCACAAATGTACACCTAAACAAAAAAAATACCAACACGCTTGGTCATTTCCTTAATCTACCACCCCTTTCTCTGAGAAAATAAAGCTTGTCTCTTTGAAGCTAGTACTGGCACTTAACAGCCCTGATGGATGTCTTTCTTGATGAAGGTGGCTATTTTGACATACATATAATGCTGTTCTATGAATCAGGCCAATATTAGCTATTTTTTGACCAACCCCAGGGATCTTTAAAAGCTTTCTTAATGCAGATGGCTATACAGCTATATTCAGTATTAGGGAGAGTCCTGGCTGGAGATTGGGACGAAATAGGTGACCTCTGGAGGTCCCTTCCAGCAAAGGAAATGCTACAGAAACAATTCAATGGCTTCTCCCTCTTTTATTTTAGGCCTATCTTTGGAAGAGAGGGAGTTGGGTTCTAAGAAAGCAAATGTAGTCTCTAGGATTACAGAAAGACTGTTTATGTAGGAAAAGTGGATTTTAGACATTATCAAATACGTCTTGTCAGTGTAGGTACCTAGCCCATGGGGATCATTTACAGACATCCTCGTCTCCATTATTCAGAGCTTTGGGTTATTGTGAACCAGATCTTGCATGAAGTAATAGGATTACTATGCAAACTGTGAAACTGCTAAAACAATCCCATTTCTATATGACAAGATTTCAAACTCAATATGCTAATTACCCCCCTGGCAATCCATTACAAGAATGAATACCCAGTGGACGATTCTGGCTGTTGTACAATGAACTATCCAGTGTTCCTCTGTCTTCACATCATGTCCGTGCGTCTACTTTTCTGGATTCAGGATAGTTGGGAATGAAGATGAAGAAATAAGGCATTTAATAACAAAATTTCTCCAAGTTGAGTACTAACAAATGAAGGACTTGCTGATGTAAAAACCTAAAGCAATGTCACCTAGATTCTCAAAAGATAAATTGTGTATGATTTATTGTCTGAATCTTGTATGTGGTGAGGCCCAAGACTAGAAGAGGTTATGTCTGATTATCATGTCATCAGATAAAGGAGCAGGCTCAGGAGAGTTGCATAAGCTCTGAAGTTCTTAATTATTTTTTATGGCCAAAGAAATGTTCTATATTTGCCAAATATTGAATTTAAAAACCTCAGGATCTAATCAGGTTCAGAGAGATGTTTGGTCTGACCACAGACCTCTCAACAAGAAAAATGCCCATTGTTAAAAGTTTATTTGTGGTTTTAAAGTGAAACCATAGTGGACATATCTCACAAACAATGATAAATCTTCATCTAAATAGAAATCAAGATTTTCATAGTTTTGACCTCTAGTATATTTCCCAGGTATGTACATGCAACAATATACAAAATAGTTCTATTTCAACAGCTCATTTGTAACGGTTTAAGTTATACTTGTTATTCATCACAAATACAATTTCAATAGAAAATTTAACTAAATTCAATAACAGACCAAGAGGAAAGAAATCCTAAATATTGATATGAAAGGAAAGCCTATTACTTATATTGTCAAGGTTTAAACGCTATCCCTTCTACTTCTAATAACCTTATTGATATAATTTGGAAAGAAGAGCCAAAGGGGGGTCATTTGGACTTGTAATAGCCAAGAAAGCAGGTCACTCACACTTTTGAGGCCTTTCTAGAGTTGGCTAGACTTCATTTAGCAATCTCATTCTTACAGGTAAGTCTAGGTTCTGTATAGTCTGAAGCTTATACAATTTTGGGGGGACTTCTTTAAGCAGGGTGTGGGGTGGGGGAGGTGGACAACACCAACAAAATTATAAATACAAACTTGCTAGGGCACCTCCCAGGACCCGGAAGGACCCAAGTTAGTGAAACTTACATTTCCTTGACTCATGTTAAATCCATCTCTGCCCCTTCTTTGAAACTCTTGCTACATCCCCACTACCCAGTCACTACCTATAAGATGATAGCAATGATTGCTTTTCTCCAAGGACAACATCTTGGAGTCAGATTCACTGTTTGCTTCTCTTCAAATGCATCAAATAGCAGGAAACGGGGACAAGGGTAGTATGAGACTCTGTTCCACTCTGTAGCCATCTCCATCCCACTCTGCTCTTTTGGGCTACTTTTGGCTGAATTACTTCACTGCCTAGGAATGGGATATCTATCTCATCCAGCAAGTTTCTGCTGTATTTCCTTCTCAGTGCTACAAAGAAAGACATAGTTGGAGATGAGAAATCTACACTGTTAGGTTCTAAGCATTTCCAAGAAAGATGGAACCATTGAGGCTGAGTTAAACTAAAAAAAAAACCTCTTTGCTGTCGAGTCGATTCCAGCTCATAGCGACCCGATAGAACAGAGTAGAACTGCCTCATAGAGTTTCCAAGGAGTGGCTGGTGGATTTGAACTGCCAACCTTTTGGTTAGCAGCCGAGTTCTTGATCTTGGAAAAAAGAACAGCATTCTTACGGAAGGAGACCTGGACTCTAGGAGCAGTTATGTTTTCTGACTAACAGGGAAAATTATGTAACTTTCCTGGTTTCAATTTCTCCTGCTGTAGAACAAAGGGGGTTAGCCTGGATAATCATTACATTTTCTTTTATCACCATAATATTTCTCCAAAATTCTTTACTCTGCTGGTTATTACTGAGAAGTTTATTTAGCAATACTGTGGCTCAGTAAGG